TATTTTTAACGAGCCGATTGTCGCGATGCGTATCACGTTAAAGGTATGACGATTGAACGCGCGCCGTCTTCCTGCTTGCCGTTCTGTTTAGCTGGCTGACGAGATATTGTATGGTTCTCGGTGGAATGAAAGTTCCGTTCGTGTCAACACTCAATGAACCGAATAATTCATTCTCATCCCTAGACCAAGTAACATTTCGATCAACGCCGAGTTCCGCGTCCGAAACAACGCAGCGGAGAGTTCGAGGAACGCATCATAAAATTCCATTGTCATTCAAATTACTCGACAAAAGCTTTTATTTATGTGTTGAAAATAATAAGGAGCGAAGTCTCCGACTGTTTGTTCACTTTCTCATAACAAGACTCTGCGGATTTTGTGCACTTACGGCTAAAACGAGTGACTAATATATATAATTATAATATTTAATATATTTATTTAATAATAATATATATGTTATATATATATAATAATATATTAATATATATTATTTAATATTTATATAATTATATTATAATATAAAATTATGAAGACATAAGGAGAATTTAATTATTTTGTCATACTGCTTTCAACTTATCAAAATTATTAAAAGAAGCAAGTTATTTTCATTTAATTTCTGTTCCTTACAGTTCTTTGAACATTTTATTATTATTTATTTTATTATTTTTTATTAAACACTTTATCATAAAATGATATCGTTAAGTGTGAAATATGAAAGATTTTGCGAAATGATTCGCTAAATCCTGAAATGCATTATTTATTTATACGGCACGAATGGCTTCGTCGTGGTTTATAAACGTTTACACAATATTAATTATGGAAGCAAAAATTTAGCTGTAGACGCATTTATTACGAAATATCTTGTATAATTTTTAGCAAAACAGTATCTGTGTTTTTAGAAAGTCCAGACGTAAAAAGCTTTTACTCATTGATTTATCGGCTGTTAGAGGTTTACATTTAATCTTAATGTAAATTTCGATGTTAACCCATACATTTACATACGAAGAGAGTATTCGGTATTCCGGCCTTCTTTAGAAGCCGATCTTTAAAATTCTGATTGCAATATAACAAATTATACACCTGTAGCAAATGATTGTATTACTAAAAAACTATCAAAAAAAAACAAACGAAGAAGAAGTATAAAACCAAAATGTAATGTTTAGTGTAATTACAAAATATGTTTCAATTTTTTAAGTAGTCCTTATCGCTTCTGACGCTAGTTTTTATGGTGAGTTTGTTATCTACTTTAGGAATGATTTCTTAAAAAATTTTATTGAAGTAGAAAAGCCGTTGAAATGTGTAAACACCAGCAGATACATAACTGCCAAAAAATTATCTGTAACGTACGACTCATTTATGATATATACATTTCATTTAGGATATATGCAATAACTATAATTGACAATATAATTTTGCATTTTATAACTTATGCGATGGAATACATTCACGTATTCCGAGTTTGCTAATTCACACAGTTTGCTAATTAACTAGTTAACTATCACTAAATTGTTAATGCTTTGTATTTATACCACAATAAAGTTTAATTATTTTAATTTAATAGGTATTCGATACAGAACACTTTGTGCTAATAAAATAATTATTATCTTGAATATTTTGTCAATTTTATTATAAAAGAATATAATTTTATTCTCTCGATCCTCCGAATATTTCACTCGAGGAAGTACATATTCGGCACACAGTACCCACGTACATTAATATCACTATCAATTGAACTCGTGACAATTAAGCCGAATGAGCCAGACAGGGTACATTTCACTCGATAAATTGCCGACTCTGTTGAAAGAGCCGACGCGTTAGTATTAGGGGATGAACACGCAGCGGCACACGGCTGCTTCTTCGATGAAGAACTTGCACGCGAACTACGAATTTCGCAAGAATCCATGCTGGACCGCGTGAAATCGACATCGCCGTCATCCTCGTCGTCGCCGCGTCGCGTCGCGACGCGTCGTCGTCGTCGCTTGCTAAAGGCGCTTCTTGCATAATATAACCTCCGACCACGATGCCACGGATTGGTTAAATGCCACCACACCGTCTGCAAACGGACCTATACTGACGCAAACACGGCTTTGCCTGCATCCACAATTTACATGTAGCTAGTGGGATCACTGTTTCTGTTCAGATGAATCGCTACATTCTGCAACTGATGCAGACAAATTTCATTTTGTATGCAAATTCCTAACCTAGTTTATCATACGGCACAGTGAAATTTTACAAACAAATGTTATTAGTAGACCGGATTTTTATGTAAAATAAACATCACATGAATTCCAAGAAATAGAAACTAAACAACAAGTTCTTTCTATCTTTAACAATAACAATAACAATAACAATAATAGTAATAGTAATAGTAATAGTAATAGTAATAATAATAGTAATAGTAATAGTAATAATAATAATNAGACATTACTGTAAAAGTTATAAAATTGATTTAGACATTACGCAGCCATTGTAACATATGTTCGAATCAAGAAATTTAGTCGATCATTAATCACAAAAGCGTGTTCGTAGTTTCGACGATTATTTTAAGATAGAAAAATGGAAAATTTCCTCGGCCATTTAGAAGATTGTTCATTTGAAAAATAAAACAAAAATGCTACGCGATCTGGTTAATCTGCACGTTCCCATGCATTTGAACAATCTGCACATCCCATAAATGCATAAATATCTAGGTGTCACCGGTATACTCGAATTGAACGTTTTCAAATACGAAAGGAATGTAAGAGTGTGCTCGAGAAATGCGATGGAACATATTGGAATTGCTCGTTTCGATTTGTTGCAGCTGAACACGGAATGGGCACAAGTTGAAGTTATAAACCTGATCAACGATGGCAGCGGTCTTGGATTCGGAATTGTCGGCGGACGCAGCACCGGTGTTGTCGTCAAGACAATTCTTCCCGGCGGCGTCGCAGATCGGGTAAGTTTTTTGCAACTGGACGCGATACAGATTCATTCCTTTGCGAGATGTTTCGCCCTAAGCTACGCTGCAGTGTCTCCGCGGAAGCGTTCGCTCGGAACATCGAACTTCCCTCAATTTAACTTTATCGGTTTTCTAATAACTAGATGTAAATGGAGGAAAGTTCATCGCCGTCGAGTTTTTGTTGACCAACAACTTTGTCTCGAGTTGGTCCGCCGGTACTGCATACAAATGTTATGAAATAATGTACGAAATTAATTGGAACAACTTCGCCCGTGCGAAAGATCCCTTTGGGAGCCACTGCATCTGTTGGGTCGGCAAGAAAGTAATTTCGGTTTGCACCAATAGATAACGTTATGTTTGTATATTGTCATTTTTATGCTAAGGTTATAATTTTTTTGTCCTCAGCTTTGATAGTTAACACGTTTAGGTGACCATAGAAACAAATTCCGTGTAGTTTCGTTTACAACTGATAGTTTGCTGTCAATTTTAACGTGGAGTGCAAAAATGAACATTTCCGACACATTATACTTTTGTACTTTCATAAAGGCAAAAAAGCGGCCGAGTCTCGCAAAGAGATATGCGAAGTTTATGGCGTCGATTGCTTAACGGGACGCACGTGTCAGAATTGGTTCAACAAATTTGGTTCTGAAGATTTTTCACTTAAAGATGACCAACGTTCTGGTCGACCTTCTGAAGTTGACGATGACAAAATCAAAGTCATAATTGAATCGAATCGTCGTATAACTGTGCGAGAGATTGCAAAAAGGTTAAATGCATCGCGCACAACAATTGAATATCACATAAGATGTCTTGGACTAGTTAAGAAGCTCGATGTTTAGATTCCGCATGGATTGAAAGAAATTCGCTTAACACAACGAATCGATATTTGCGATACGTACTTTAAACGTAATGCGATCGACCCTTTTTGAAACGAATTATCACTGGTGATGAAACATGGATCGTTTAGAATAACATTAATTGAAAAAGGTGATTGTCCAAGCGTGATGAATCAGCACAAGCCACATCGAAAAAGCTGGATTGTATCAGAAAAAGATCATGCTGTCAATTTGATGGGACTATAAAAGTGTTGTGTACTTTGAGCTGCTTCCAAGCAACCAAATGATGAAGTTGGAGGAAGAGCAATCAAAGAGAGAAGGCCAGAATTGGCAAATCGCAAAGGAATCGTGTTCCATCGCGTCAAATGCGAGACCTCATAAATCTTAAGCAACGCGTACGAAATTATTGGAGGTTGGTTGGAAAGTGATGTAGCGCCGACCTTGCACCATCGGATTATTATTTATTTCGAAGTTTACAAAACTTTTCAAATGGTAAAAATTTCAATAATAACGATGGCCTGAAATCGCACTTGATTGAGTTTTTTGCTGATAAGGACCAGATGTTCTAGGAGCACGGAATCATGAAGTTACCAACAAAAGGTCATGACAAAAGGTCATCGAACAGAATGCAAGATATTTGACTGGTTAAAGTTTACTTTTTGCATAGAAAAGAAATTGAGTTTTACTTCACATTGAAATACCGAAATTACCTTCTTGCCAACAGAATACTAATAGACGGCGGATTTTTATATACGAAATAAAAATAAAAACTAAATAGTGAATTTGTTTTAAATAGTTTGAGTAGGGTATAGATAATACATCAACATTTTTTGATTCTTTTGATCTTTCTACTACTTTAAATTGCAACTATTCCATTTTGTCATAAATGCATAAAATCCGCGGTCGAGCCATTAGAACAGTGTTCAATCGAAATATATGTATCTAATTTCTTTTCCCTTAATTGTGACATTTTGTTTTAAAACAAGAAATCAGGTGTATATAGATACAGTGACCCACAGAAGTATTCGTACACCTTTTAAAACACGATAACTGTTTTTAAAAATTGAACTAAGTGATTTGAATTCTCAGTCATCGTCTAGTAGACTAGTCCCTTTATCATTTAAAAAGAAATTCAAATCATTTAGTTAAAAACGTCGTTATGTTTAAGAAGGTGTGCGAACACTTTTGTGGGCCACTGTACTTACAATTACAAGGTACCGGTCGATGTATGTACTCGTGATTCTGATTAGTATTTTCAGTTGACCGACGATACATGTGAAGAAAGAACGTGAACGTGAAACATTGTATTCTCGTGAGGATGCCACGTCGATGTTTCGCATCAGAAGGAAAGAAAAAAGGTAAACGATATTGACGATACGAATCTGCCCTTTTGCCTCGAAAGTGTCATTCTGGTGCACCGTTATGAATCATTCTCCGGTACCGCGGAACCCAGACGTTATCGATCGATTTATTTCGTTCGCGTGCGGGATAAATTACTATTGTGTTCCAGCCTCTTCCACAGGTTCAAGAAGAGCCAGTTCCTTTGACTGTACATAATATCGAGCCGTGACACTTGGTGGTGAAGAAATTTTCAGCCGTTAAAATTTCACCGATATTCAATTAACGCTCAAACGTATCGCCTTTATAACCGACTTCTTAATACGCTTTCTCTCTTTAGACTTCCATTCATTTATTGTATTATATAATACAATGCTTGACTCAAATGCCAATAAATATTCCATTACCGATTCCGTTTTAACATACCCATGGCGAAAATTATTTAATGGTTTTGTTCTTTTATTTTGCTCTCCTTTTGTTATATTAAATTAATTGTCACAATTGTTGACAATTGTTGACACAATTGTTGACTGTCACAATTAGACGAATTTTTCGGATGTGGTAGGTTATATTGTAAATTACAATATTCCTTTTCTACAATGTTCCATTGATTCAATGATATAAATTGAACCTATACAATCATAATTATTAACATTCTTACACCCCGTTTCTAGGTCACAAGCACAAGAAAGAGATATATACAGTGAAAGAAAATGTTTTCTAAGTTCCGTTACCTATACGACGAAGCGTATGAGCCGTTTATTTTGAAAGTGGCATAAGTCACTTTGTTTTTAAGTCGATATATTTAAGGGTTTGCGTTTTAACACGTTTCAAAATATGGATGCTAACTTTCGAGAAGATTTACTTGTATTTGTTATCTCAGGATACTATTATTTATACTGATATTTTTCTCAGTATAAATAATTTCGTATAAACATTAAAAAATCACCACTTTTCATTGCGGTAAAGTGACTTATGCCACTTTCAAAATAAACGGCTCATATGAATCACTAGCGTAATGTTTCTATCTCAGTCCCCAGTTAACTGTGAACGTACCGCCAACAAATGTTTACATCGACTCTAGTTTCACCGATAAACGTTATTATTGATGTTACTAAACGTCGATTCTAAGATAAAGCAATTTAAACTGATGTTTGTACACACGAACGATTAACGTTAATTACTTAGTTGTTACATATTATATGTTAATTGTACTTGCGAGAAAGAACTATTAGCTAGTTATAAATGGAGTTATAGAGATACATTATTTGTTAACGATTTAAGGAAATTCATTTCTGTGTAAGTTTCACGCTTTCGTAATATTCTGTTTTTTCTTCCCTTTTTTCATGTTTTGTTCTTCCTTTTCGTGTTGGCTCACCGTTTAATAATTGTTTTAATATATTTTCGACAACGGCTCGATTGAACAATTATGGTTATGTACGGAGCTGGTGAAATCATCGAACGTGTATTACCAAGAGTTCTAAGTGTCAATAATAGTATGTGTCAGGTGAAACGCGAGAGTCGATGTAAACATTTGTCGGTGATTTTAATGTGTCGGTATATAAACAACGTCGACGAAATCGTGCCGATGAAAACATTGTTGGTGATTTCAAGGTAACCCGACTTCCACTGCTGCCTTTAGCTGCCTTAGCAAATTTCTTGCTGTACCTGCCACTTAAACTACGAGTCAAAGACTATTTTCCTTATTCAGAAATATAACAGCAACTCGTGCGAAATTAATGGGACAAAAAGTTAAGCAATTATCTTTATCATTTAGAGTGAAAATATTATTACATTTGAAAAAAAAAATAAAAGTATGTTACTTCTAGGAAATGAAGGGTTCCTGAGGTCATTTGAAGTAACTTTCTCCCTTACCGAAAATGGAATCCGCGGCTTTGTTTACGAGTTATTAACGAAAGACACTGACCAATGAGAGATGCGATCAGCTGTCGCGCGACGGCCGAGCCAATGAGCGGAGCTAGGCATCGTCCACTCGTTGGCTCGGCCGCCTCGCGCCAGCCAAGCTCGCCTCTCATTGGTCAGTGTTTTTCGCTAATAAATAGTTAACGATACCTCAGAGAAAATTTTTGTAAAGGAAAAAGTTGCTTCGAATGACCTCAGGAATCTCTAATTTCCCGGAAGTACCATAATTTTGGAACGCCCTGCATAATTCTATATTATTTACTGCTACGTGTTATTGTCTTACTGATGTTGCAAAAATATGTCTGGCTTAATTTTTTCTGTATAATTATCATGAGGATTCGCATCATCGAGATTCAATTGTATAATGAATTTACTGAATATATTATATGATGATCTTCTTATAACTATTGGTAATAAAAAAACTAGTTACAATCAATGAAGATAATAAATTATACTTATCGACGATGGTATAAACATTATAAGATTTTAAGCAATATTGATTTTTAATCCGCAAAATGATGAAAGTTGACAACTATGCACGCGGCGCGACGTCTGCCTGTTGCAATTTGCAGATTGCGAGTTGCGGGTTGCGGATCGAAGTCCCTGAGCCATCCTTCTTTAAGCTGCACACGATCGCGGGTAATTGATTTATTTAACGGGTGTCAACGATAGAACAGCCGCGTTGCGGTTAGGTGACGAGGTTGAACCACCTGTGTGGCTCGAATGCACACGCACCGATGCAGTACAAACTCGTAATTCACCAGGAATCTCTTCAGCGGCGAGGGAACGACATCCACGCGATAAGATATTATAATTACACCAACAGGATGCAGGCCCCGTTGCAAAGTTCAAACGATTGATCTTTGAAAAATAAGAAAGTTTAACTTGTAAAACGATCATGCGAGTTCTTTGCAAAACTATTTGAACGTTCAAAAATATGGAACACGTGTTGCTGTACGAAGTTGAATTATTATGTTGTACTGCATCGTTCGTAATTGGTGTTTAATTACACGTAGGTTATCATTAGTTGGACAAAAAATCATTAGTTTGAAAAAAAGAAAAACAGAAAAAATCAGGGAGGGGAAGTTCTGTTGTTCTTTTGCAAATAATGTTGTGGTTGTTAATACAAAACTATACCATATTTCCTAAACTCGTTTTTTAGTTTATCAACATTTGAAAGTTTATTAACGTTTTATTAAAATCATATACAAGGGCAAATGGTTTATCGTAACTTATGCGCAGTACATAGTTTGCTACCGACATGATTATTCTAAAAGACGTTTAAAAATAAATCTGATGATTGCTGAGATTTATTCTATGATAATTTTCCACCTAAGACACGTGGCGACTAGTTTATCTTATTATTAAACTTGTAAAACGTCATCATCAAGAAACTGGTTTCGGAGATTTTGTTATTGTCATTGAAGCTTCCTGAATAAACAAGTAGCTCTGTTCAAAGCCTAACCTGTTGAACTGTCGAACCTGGAAGCATACTCGTAAACATTACCAAGAAATAGTTACTTTCTGCGGTCGATGTTTCAGTCGCATTGAAATATTGAATCCTAAGCATAGATTACGAGCAACACAAACGTTAAACATCTCATCATTTGCATGATATATAAATAATCATGATCGTTACGAACAAACTGCGGATTTTATGCATTCGTGACAAAAATGAGTATGTGCAATGTGAAATAAAATTTCAACCTACCTTAACCTTTTAGGTACGGCTGAATTTTGCGCGAGGCTATTTCTCTGGACGGCAGAGTCTGATGTGTACTGTACAGAGTCTGATACTGTATACAGAGTGTGTCCCAAAAATGTCTCGCAATCCGAAAGTGGCGGGTTCCTCAGGCCATTTGAAGCAACTTTTTCCTTTACAAAAATGTTCTTCGAGGCACCGTTAACGAGTTATTAACGAAAAACGGTGACCAATGAGAGGCGAACTCAGCTGGCGCGAGGCGATCGAGCCAATGAGCGGAACTGGACTTCGTGCGCTGGTTGGCCTCGCGTCAGCCGTACTCGATTCTTATAGGTCACTGTTTTTCGTTAATAACTCGTTAACGGTGCCTCGAAGAACATTTTTGTAAAGGAAGAAGTTGCTTCAAATGATCCGAGGAACCCCCGTTTCCGGATTGCGAGACATTTTTGGGACACCCTGTAGACTGTTGTAAATCGATTTGAAGACAAAAGAAGTGTGAAACAATGAATATGAAGACGATTATTTGGTTTAGAGTAGCGAGTGAGCTACTAGAGCAAGCCACTATAGTGGCGCGTCGTGCCTCTAAAAGGTTAAATATATTAAAAACAGAATGTAACTCCTAAGTTACTCGTATTTCTTGCAACAGATACCGAACATTTTTATTCCGCAGAAAGATTTGCAGTCTAGTTATGACTACTACTATATGTATACTATATACTAGTAGTACTATAATTAGTGTAACTCCGGGTTAACCAATTTCGAGAAAATTTTCAGCACGCATATAGGTTACCGAGATCTACGAGAGGCATTTTTTAAATTTTCATTACAGGCTCAAATAAAAAATTTAAAAAACGAGAGTTTTTTATTTTTTTTTTGTCATTCCAAGTAATAGCAAAATTTAAAAAAAGCATTTTGGTCATCGTCTGGTAGACTAGTCCCTCTATCATCTAAAAAGAAATTTAAATCATTTAGTAGTCCATTTTTCAAAAAGTTATAGCATTTTTTAAGTGATGTTAAGTATATGGCCACTATTGTATATAACAATGAATATAAAATAATGATTTAATATCAATCGTAGCTTCGTCTGTAATGCATCGTTTACGAATTTGATCGTGTGAAAAGATGAATTTGATTTAGAAATTGTAATATGCAATAAAACATAAAACTTGTACATAAATCTGAAGGAAGAAGCGCGATTTCTGTCCTTGAACCGACACGACAGAAGTCCTGATTATCAAAAGAAAGACCAAAGGATGTAACTATTACGAATTAAGTGATATCGGTGAAAGCTGCAACAGGGTCAAGGTAATGTAACCGAGAATTTTAGCAAATTGTAATTGACATCTCGTTTGGCGGTTACGTGTATCGTTTTCGACCGAATTTTTGTATTGTATTTTCAGACGGATCGGTCTCGCATCCTCCGACTTTCTCAAACAAAAGAGGCAACTGTAGTCTCCCTTGAGCGTGGCTCCCGGTCAGAAGAAATGGCCGTGTTGCGGAAATGCAATTTCGTCCGAGAGCGGCATTTCAGTTTGAAACTCTCTTGACCGATCGTGACTCGCGTTGTCTCGGCATTGCGACAGAACAGCACCTCGTTACCTCTCATGTACATAGATGCGGCTGTGCGACCTTTGCTGCAAAGTTGCGCGATTGAAGGAAGAAGAATGGTGGAAGGAATCGATTCACGTTGTCTCGGGGAAACACGATTGCCCGACTAAATTCAGGATCGGTCTAGCAATATCATGAATGAACTGTTTCGTTTCTATAAGGCATTGCTCTCACGTAGGAACGATAGGAACAAGTACAGTCAATTCTC